GAGACCGATATTCATAAGTGTCAATAACATACTTTGGATGGAGAAAATTGTTTGATTAGCGAATACAGTGCCTATTGGTGATGCTGAGCCTTGAACAAGCAATGGGGTCTGTAGATTAGGCGCCGTAAAACCAACCAAAAATGTAATGCACCATGGATCTGACTGGACATCCGTTGAATCAACTGCTCCGGCACAAAATCCTTGAGGACCATATTGATCGGAAGTCGGAGTCCAAATAAGATTGATGGAGTAAAGATCTGAAAATGTGGAGAACATAAAAGAAGCTGCAAAATCTATCTTACTTGTGCCTATTTTTGTGATAGCTGTCTTTTTCATCCCAATAGGCGAGCTTGTTGTAAAATCAATTATTGTTTTGTTTGCACAATTAACTTGAGCAATGACCGTTTCGTTCGTGAGAGCACCTATTCATCAAAAATATTACTAAACATTTATGTGCTGGAACGAAGAAAATTCTACTTATTGGCGTCCCAATACACGCTAGAGAATACAAAGACAAAGATGAGTAAAGAATGAAATAGGATCAAATGCAAAGTCGAACCTAAATTTGGTCGAACACCGATAATCGAAGGTGGTGTGGAACAGCCCGCAGGAGCTGTTGTTCCATAGAACAAAAACTGGATAGGAACAGAACTCATGGATGTCGGAGACGTGGACGTATAATAGTCTTCAATTTGTAGAGCAACAGCATAATAATCAGTTTCATTGAGCTTAAACACTAGGGTGCAATTATCGGAGAAGAGTTGAAACCCATTAGGAAGACTTGGTGAGCAGACTGAACCACACTCATTGTATCCATTCGGATTAGTGTAGCCTACTGTGTTGCTCGTTGACCATCGACATCGAAGTGTGTCAGTCGAATCAGCATCTGACATTGGAATGATATGCACGTGTTGTACATTTATTTGCCGATAAATAATTGGCAATGTTGTAGTCACAGGAGAAGTATTCAAAATGCCATCTGATCTCACTGTTAGATCGATTTTTCCACTCACATACTAATAACTGTTTCCTCCAATTGCTAGCAACATCCATGCAGAACTCGTGAACGTAACAATATATGTACGATTAATTGCAAGGGTTCGGTTGTCGTATCGTTCACCTGATGCACAATTAGCTAAGGCACTGTAGTCGGTACATTTTACATCAGCGTTGATCGAAGAGAGTGATGCACAATTACCGCCAGCAACGCAAGTTAACGAGCCCGTGCCTGAGCCAACAAGCCATTGTTGGGCAATCGTCTGATTCGTACAGACGCTTGATGTTCCCCAATAGTCACGACGCCATGAAAATCGTTGATGAATTAAAATTGAAGCCGTCGCACCCGATGGATTTGTATTCCAAGCTCTCCTAAATGAATAATTCGAATAAGACTCGTTATAATAAAATAGATGAAAGCTCACCACGTGACAATACCACCACGAAAGTGTGACCCAATGACTGAATTCAGTACTAGAGTCAGTGTTACGAGAATTTTAAAGAAATAAACGTCCATTACATTCATGTCACGATAGATTAATCAAGGCGTTGCACAATCTTGAGTCAATCTACTGCAACAATATGAAAAAGTTGTAGATTCCTTATTTAATATACAATGAGATTTGTTTATTTTATGAAGTGCAATTATGCAACACTCAAACTCAGCACTCTTCATCTGTGTTGCGAAACGAAAACGTTTAGTTTTAAATCAATCAATAATTCATAGCAAAGAATAATGCGTGAAAAAGTAAATAGAAACGGATTAAAAGACATTGTTGAAAATGTTGTTGCTCTCTGTGTGCAAAATGCCATTCACTATCGCTTGCCAATAATCGTTTCGTCCAATCAATGAAGAATGGATTCCTATCAATAATCGAAAATCAATCATTTTTTTCACATCAGAAATCAGACTCTTTATCAAGAACAATGCGAACACTCCGTTTAGTATTATGCTGGTTGTGTATGTAGTATCTTCAAGTAACAGCAGTGATCTCGAAAAGTAAAGGGTAGCCACTTTTCGAACAGTATAATGTACTTCTGCGTAGTTATCGAGCTGCCGTGTAGAATGAAAAGGGTAGAATAATAAACAATCACAGGTTTATTGTGTACTGCACTTGCATAAACTCGTGATGGATTTATTATTCTACTCTTTTTTTACAATGTAGACTCTGCACTGATAGGAAGATATTTTCTGGCTGCATGTTTCAACGTGAAGTTGATTGAGCCTAGTTGTTAAGCATCAACACAACATTGCTGCTTTCGACAAGAAGACTGCAGATTTATCACATTAATAAGAAGATCGAATTTCGAGTGACATACTAATGGCAAACATAGAAAAAAAACAACAAATTCATGAGCATCCGAAATGTGATCCCTAATTTCTTCGTGAACTTTGTTCAATCGATTGATGAACGTAGTTTGAGTTTGTTATGAATTTTCTAAATAACTTGTGTACAAAAATCTTCGACCTTATGAGTGCTGTAATAAATACTTTGTGGTTCAACAAACTTTTCTTTTTTTCACCTGGCTACTTGCATAAAAAACTATAGGTTACCTATAACAGACTTCTAAATTGAGTTGTTATAGTGCTTCGCAAAAGCTAAAATTGTGTTTGCCGATTTGATTTGAAATAACTGAGAAAAGTGATCGGACTTAAGTCGATCACCGGAATGGCTCCCATCTTCGATATATCTTGGATGTAAAATAGTACAACGAAAGAAAAATTGTTAGATCCTATATAGGTTGTTGTGTATATGGTTATTTTAAGATGTTATTTAAGTTATTTTTATCAGTTTCTTTTCTTGCTGTAAACAATAATCTTAAACTGATTTTCTTAGAATAATACGAACACATTAATGATACTGATACATACTATTAACTGCGCAATTAAAATAAGTCAAGGTCAAGAATAACGTTTTCTTGACTTTTTAAAAGAACAAAAAGAAGACGAAAATCAACAGAGATGAGAGCAAACAAACAAGAGTTGTTAGATCAAAGAAAAAACGAAAATATACGAAGAAAAAAAGCACAACGCCAGGAAAAATATCTAACAAAACGAACGTATTTGATAATACATATAACACAATTTCTTACGGCCCTTGTTATGTGCGTGCCATAACAAAGATGTCCTTTAGTTTTTCTCTTCAATGCATTCACACGACTTGGTGTCGTAAACAATACTTCAGCTTCTAACAATTATCTCTGTCTTTCGTATTCATCACAATCGAAAGAAATACATCAGGCCGTCTCAACGTGATACTTTAGAAGGGTTACTGCTCTCGGTCTCTGACAGAAATCTCAGATTGAGAGTTCGGATCAATGATCTGTGTAGCACCTATACTCTTAAGACCGGCAGCCTTATACACCGGTTATTTCGAAAATTACAAAGAAATGTTGTCCGCTTGTATCCACCGATAGAACAGAACTCACGAAAATATTGAGACTCACATTTCGAACGTTCGTGGATTTGTTTTTAGTGAACCTTTGAATTCTGACGATCAGATACCTGTCTTTCTTTTTAGTCTGTTTACTCTTTAATTAAGTGTGAAAATAAATAAATTTGTATTACAGAAAAATTTAAAATATTTTTCGGGGAGTATCCTAGANGAAAACTAAAACTTACATATAAAAAGTTGCTCTTTAAAAACACAATTTGAAGAATAGTAAAACTCATTATTGATGAATTATAAAATGACAACAAATGTCACGCATCACTAGTTCAAAAACAAGTATCTTCCTCTATTTGTATATCGATTAACACATTTGGATCATCGAAATATCCTCGATTATTACCACAACAATCCTTATGCACAGTTGGATAGATGTAAATATAAATTAAGACATGGTCGATTAGCTCATCAAACGGTGTTATGTCAAAATCCTCGCTATATGTACCCGTGACGATAAGAAACACTTGCTTAAAGTTAGTAGAAGAAATAAATTCGATACATTGATCAGCATTAACAACAACTTTTAGATGACAAATTATTTGACGTAGTTTAGCGGTGATGTTGAACCATTGATTTTCTGCTCAAGTACCAATGGTATCATCTAACCAAATAATAATAATGTCTTCACATAAATTGTTCATGTGATTGAGATTCGATAAGATGGTAAATGATTCTTCCATGAGATAAACACTAAAAATAAAGATGGTAAATAGCTGAAGAAATTGTTTTACATCCATCATGTATAAACGTTCCTTAGCATTTTATTTCTTTTGCAAGAAAACCAATCGGCTTTTCTTCGAAGTTTTTTCATATCTTTCTTTACTTTTCATGAAAAGACGACTGAAATCAGTAGGAAAATCATAAGAATGCTTTGAGAAAAAGCTGATCTGAATTTTTTGACAAGGAATCTGCTGAAATCTATCAAGCTCGATTACCATTGCATCCGAACACAAGAAAATTGGCCAGTTCATGACAATGCTACTAGTCGAAAAGGTCGATCATGAATCAAATAAGAAAACTAAATGTTCAAATTTAGTGAAAGTTTTGATGAGAAGTGCTAACATGGCGAAATCTTTCATACTGTAAAATATGGCTTGTGACGCATAAGAATTTCATTCTAACTCATCATAATGACATGCATGTCTGTTTGACGACTGAATTTCAGATAAAAGTGTTTGGAAGTTTATTCATATGAGTAATCACGAACCAATTTTTGTTACAACGATTCGTCTCGAAAATAAAATTCATTAGATATTGTGTTGGGAGCGGGTGCGACCCTTTTCTTCCGTGATAAACACACTCACATCCACACTCTTTCTTACAAGTTATGTTTCATCACTCAAGGGTCGATTATCATGAATAAGAAATTGAATCCGTGTTCGACATAAAGAAAAGTATGTACGAGTCTTGTCCATCCATCATATGAATTAGACGAACTATTTCGACGTTTTCAAATAAATAATATGTTTCTTCCTTACAGCATCATCTTCATACTTAATAAAATAAAGAGCTGCTGGTGGTCGAATCAAAAATTCATCTTCATCTGGAATTGCAGATATATCAGAGATACTGGAACTACAATCAACCATTTCGGAAACAAATCCGCTTTCATCTACATCTAGTTCAATAATCAGTAGTGTATTACCTAACAATTCGGCCAGCTTACGATTTGTAGAGGTTGATGTGAAAGATAAACACTTTATAAGTTCATTTGATTGTATGATTTCTTGAATTTGTTTGTCTTCTAGATTTAGGCCACGATAAAGTAAATGACTACCTCTTGGCTGAAACCGAATCTGGCTCAGATAACATCGAAGTAGATAGCAGAAAGGCCCTATTGATCTCATTTCTTCAATGTTAATTGCATTCAGGTCACGCATTATTCTATTAATTAGTTTGTACCAAAACGTTTCTCTCGTGTACATATTAACTAATATGTTACCAATTTCCATTGGTAGCATAGTATCGATATCTGCTACAATGTTGGCACCAAAATGTTCGACTGCTAGTAATTGTTGAGATAGCGATTCAGCATCACGCATACGACGAAGTATTACTCCTTGTTTGACAATTCCTTCTGCAGCAGCTTTAATGACATCAGCAATCATCTTACCCGTTTTACTTATTTCTTTACAAAAGTAAGCTCTCGGAAAGTCACCTATTTTCATCAGTGCATGGAACAAGATATCACTGTTTTGTCCTTCACTAATTGATGATGATGACGATGATGATAAAACGAGATTTACGGGTGATCCAAATCGTTCTATTCGAAAATGATTAGTCGAACGATCTTTTTCCAGCTGAATTCTTTTTATAGTGAATTGTTTGTGACACTCACCTTTCTTATATTGAACTAGACGTTCTAAGTCGATTATATAATCTCCATCGATTTCTACTTCTATCTGCTTTTTATTGTAGGCTTCTTCAATTATATCATTTTCAATATCACTGTACATCTGCTGTTGCTCATTACCATCGGCAGCTAGACTCCAGTACCATTGGAAATTACGTTGACGAAAAAGAGTGGGCGAATTAGACATCAACGTAGAAGCAATTTTTTATTTTTCAAGCAGAAAAATATTTGTTGATTGTTGTTTTAAATGTGAAAACGAGTATGTCTTTGTAAACCACTATATTCTATAAGACAACATTTTTAAAAACCTAAAAAGTGTAATTCCTACAAGATTAAAATATGAATATAATGGAGTTGTTTGAGATAGATGTAGGGATCTGTCTTATTTTTGTAACGATCTGTTATGTATATGAATAGGATAATATCTAATTCAGTCGGATGGCTTCAGTCATCATCATCATCATCATGTCCCATAGGCTTAGCGCCCGTTGGGGCCAACCATTTTTACGGGATCAGATTTTTCCACGCCTGTCGGTCTTGTGCGAGGTGGAACAGCTCTTGTCCACTGCGTTGACACCACTCTGTTATGTCATCCAGCCATTCTCTGCATGGACGCCCCCGGCGAGATTTTCCTTCCATGTTCGAAAATATTATGTGTTTGATTAATCTNCATTTTTTCCTATGGCTTCCTATGCGAAAATCGACCCATCCCCGCTTTCGTAAAAAATTTTTCCTATCATACTCAAACAAAACCCCAACTATTATATACCATTCGATAGAGAATTTTACGAGCTACAAAATGGTATATAAAACATAAAGAAACACGAAGGCTAACTCGGCTATTGCCAAGATAATCAGACGGAAATAGGTTCTGTTTTCGTCCACGCTGTAGTGGATCCGAAAATGGAGCTCTACCTTCCAATCACGGACATGATACTTTGAGGTTTTTTGGGGCGGAGAACTCGAATCTGTCATCAATTTGCCTTGAAATACCATTGGTTGAGCATGGACCAATAGAAATCAAGTTATAGGAAAAACGACTTTCTCAGGGTAAATCAAGGCGAAGAGTTCAAATCTGAGCTGTATTCATCTCCAAATCCTATTGGTTGAGAGTAGCCAATAGAAATCAAGTATTTTATAGAAAAGGTTTGCCAGGATAATTTTGATGTCCACACATTCTAGGAAGACTCATCTGTCTCATTCACTTTTTGAAGTACACATAACTCTTGATTTAAATCCGAGGTTTTCGCATTTATTGTTGTATTGTTTCACAAACGTGTTCTGCTTCGGGGAATTAGAGTGTTACCAGTTCCTCGGAATTTTCCACTAGATTTGTCGGAGACCACCTACAACAGTCTCTTTTAAATGGGAAATGAAGAATAACATTTTGTGAAGCTCAAAGTAGATCCGAATTCGCTGATCGAGAGTACTTTTGGTCAAACCTTAAAAAGTTGTTAGTCTTCCAAAAAACTCTTCCGTTGGTGAAAAGTTAAGTACAAAGTTTTGCGAAACGGACATCGGATTCGGATTTCTCGAGCCGGATTACCTTCAGTAGCAGTTTACTAGTAAAACTCATCTCAAATCAAGTGAAATCCAAATCAAGCCCAGTCAAATCCTAACCTAGTGCGGTCACAGCCAAATGTGAATTCAGTCAAGTTCAAAAGAAAGAACTGGATTTGCATTTGACTATGATTCGATTTCGTGCATACCTAGTTAAAAGGTGCTCTTAGCATTTTATTGGAAATTCTGAGTTGTGAATGAAGAACATTCTCTTTCTTGAGAAGACTTCAGGTCTTCATTGCCAAGGTTTGTAGCGAGCGATATGGTCTCAACTAAATTAGACTTTTTTCCATTTGGATTAAAAAGCGATTTGAAGTTTCATATCCCAAATTTTTACCTGTACAGGTGGGTAAAGGTAAGTATAGGTATAGTGATGCACGTAGCAGAATAATTAGGTACCACCATTACTTAATAAATTACATCCGGTCTTGTATCAACACCTAAAGGATTTTACGAGATTTCTAACCCAACTTGCTCGTGCTTCTGTTGCGATGCAAATAAACTGATCTATAGGGCGATAGCCGTATATATAGGGTGGAGATCATCCGTAAGTAAATAGTCTGTTCGCCCTGTCTGACTTGTCCAGAGCTATATGGAGGGTAGGTGTAGATCTCCAAGGACTATCCAGAGAGAGCACTTATAAGTCTTCAAGGGCTATCCAGAGGACTCCTTACTTCTCCAGTGCGAGCGAGGATGGGTGCTTAATGAGGAACTGATTACAGAACGTGAATTAATGGCGAAAAAACTATATAGCTTCATTTATCCCTTGATATTTTTGGAAATAGTTAACAGGGTATGAGTGTTGGTAGTATGAAGACCACATCCACATCCTTACCCAAACCCACACCCACCCACACCCACACCCATACCCACACCCACACCCACACACCCACGCCCACACCCGAGATGAAACTACACTGACAGTGTGTTATTCACCGATTTATTGAATGGTTGCTTTTTTCAATTCAAATCATTGTAGAATCTCGAAGGTTCAATAAGGTCGGTATTTTCCACCGCAAACATCTTTGATTGCCATTAGGCCTATATTTTCGATAAATTAACCAACATACACATTCAAATTAGCTGTTGTTCTCTTACAGCCTTCAGATGAGTGAATGACCATCTCATACATAACAATTGTCTTCTAGAGTAGGGTAGAAGTACGTTCGGGCCTATTTGAGAATGATTATAGATGATAGCATAAGAGAGAGAGAGAGAGAGAGAGAACTTATAGATAAGGCTCCTCTCTTCATCATCGCTCTCACCGATACCTACACGCATCCTTCTTATTCTGCATACATGCGACTTGGTGAATCCCATTCTTATGTTTGTAAGAAGCAGTACGCGGGCGGATGAAGAATGGAAATAAGCACTCACATCTTCTGCATAAGTTCTTTCAAATTATTTTCATTTGTGAAACTTACATTACAGTAATTAGACAGTAGTTATTGATAAAATCAATGAAAGCAAATGCTGCGTAAGGTATATCCAGTATTTTAGCAACGATTATGTAAGAGCTATAATTGGAACTTCATATAGACCATATTCAGTAAATTATTCTTAGGGTTGTGCATGGTCGACTCATCTTGCTTTCGATGAACTAAGATGCTAGTCTCATCAAGAAGAAACTCTTGAATATTAATCCAAGTATTCTCTCACTTGGCTATGTTTCTTTTGTGCGACTGTTCAAAGCAGAGGCTTGAGTGTATCATTTGCAAATTAACTGACAGTTCTATAATGACTATCAAAAGCTTTCTGTGTCTCTTAAGTGTTTAATATTTAGTTTGGCAAAACGAACAGTCATGGAGATCATTACCGTAGCTCAATGGATTAAGACGCAAGCACTTAATTGGAATCTTTTTGAAAGTCCGGGATCTCATCTTGATCCTTTTCGATTACGCATCGCGATCATATCAAGTCGAATCTATATATTACTGATGATGCTCATCATGATCAATCTCATTACGTATGGTTCAATTATTGTTCCAACTGAAATGGCCACGATACAAAAACCATCAGAAATAAGTTACAGAGATTTATACGAAAAATATCAAAATTCACTATCATGTCCTTGCAAGCATATAGCCCTTTATTATCAAGACTTCGTCAACATTTCAATTAACTACCATCCATTGTGCACAAGTTTGTTTATCTCTGATGGATGGATAAATGAATTATTTAATCCAAGCCTGACTGCTTTTGTGTCGAATGACTTTCGCCTAACTGCTAGTAGTTACTTTCAATTACTCGCCACACTCTGCTCAATAACGAATAGATCAGTTCAAAATGTGATCAATGATTTATTATCAAGAGTTTTTCTAACAAAGTATCTCATCTCACCGACATCAGTAAACATTCAAATTCACGAAGAAATTTCTTTCACTCTAAACTCAGCCGCTAATGCTGTACGTCAGCAGCATGAATATATACGGAAAATTACTCATAGCAATCAGTTTGAATCAGCTTTCAAAACACCCAAGACATTTCTATTCAATACCGCGATGCCCGGGAGTCCCGCAAAAGAAGGCTTACATTTTCCTGCAAGTATTATTCTTATGAACAACACTATGTCATGCAATTGCATTGATACATCTACCTGCTCCACTCAAGCAGTGTACTTCGATGTCAGTCATATGATGTATGTTTAGATCTCAAACAAAAATAAGTCTTACAAAACACTGCACAAAATCCACGAATAGTCGCCCTGTTGTATAAGAATCTCCGATTCTCTGTGACTTGAATAAGTTTGTAGGTGAAATGAAGGTTGCTTCGCTATGTAGATGATGGCGCTGCTCTCTGATCATGACACTTGCAGAAATTACTCCGTCTTTTAATAACTAAAGTATGTCATTCGGGCTATGTGTCACATTTATTTTGTCAAATCTAGTACGTAGGTTTTCTATTTCTGCTTGATTACTGGAATCAAGAATTGTTCACTTGTCCTTTTTTGTGCTCAATGGAGTGAGTTCAAAGTACTTGGCACTACTGATATATTAGATATGAGCGAATTAGAGAATCTTGTATGAATAATGAGGCAGAAGATTTCAATCATTTTATTAGTCGACAAGTTTCGAAACTATTTACCCAAACAGAGATTTTCATTAGTTGTAGCATGTTTCTTATAGGAATCCAATCGGATTTCGTGTGGGATGCTATGCAATTGAAGGCCTACTTCAGTCTACGCTCGCATGTTTATTTGATCAGGCATGCATACAATCGATACTCGTCCTTTTTCCAAGAACCAATATGACTCATATAGATGTGCTCAAAAGCAATGAAACAAAATTTTTACCTATTACAACCATTGAAACACTTGTGAACGAATTATTTATCAATAATTGGCTCCCATTTATTTCTTTTTCCAATTATTACACAAAATGCGACCCTATCTCATGCACATACATATTCAGTCGAACTGGTAGTGCATTTTTTGTCGTGACGGCAATATCTGGTCTTTTTGGTGGCCTTACTGTCGTCCTACGGCTATGTGTATTCAATATCGTCACATGGTGGTACAACCGGTTTTTTGGCCCACGAGAGCCGACAACAAGTAAGCTCTATGTCTCAGATATAGAAATGAAGTTCTTTCATTTTCAGGCGTCTCTGGACGTGAACGTGTTCGAGCAAAATGGCGACGGATAAAGACTCTAATAATTGAATTTAATCTCTTTGAAACTGCTGAAACAAGCACGAATCCCTTTGAGATGGCTACTTCGCGAATCATGACTCGTGTTTTTGTCATATCTCTAAGTCTCTCAATACTTGTCATAGTTTTGTACAATTCAATTAGTCTGCGGCTCTATAGTACAACTGTTAAGAACCCGTCGGAAGCAATGTTTGAAATGCTCTACTACAAGTATCCTCGTACACTACATTGCCCATGTAATAAGATCACAATCCCATATGATGCGTTTGTCTCGGTATCACCCGTATTTCATCAAGTTTGTACGAGCTGGTTGGTATCGCAGAAATGGATTCAATACTTAGCAGTTGTAAAAAATTTTCGATACGAATTCAAGAATGATGATTTTTGCAGCGCTGGTGTCAGCTTCTTTAACGTTTTGGCCACTGTGTGCTCTCTAGCTAACACAACTATTATCAATGCTTGGCGCATTGTTAGTCACTCCGTATTAATCACCGAGGAAGCATTGCCTTTGAAATATTTATTAGCTAATGTGAATGTAGTTCTCAACCAATTTAAAACAAATACAGTAGCTGAGTTTAAACGTAGTCTTGCCATTATTAATTTGCAAACACAAAATTTGCTCATTCCCGAAGGAGGTAACGTTGTGTAAGTATCTTTTGGCTGTGTAGAAGTTCGATCCTTTTTTAGCACAGTAAACAGGATTTCGTCAGCCCTGTCATGTGCCGTATTACGTACGACCTTTACTACTACTAAAGCTAAATGTCCTATCAAAGCATACTGCTCAGAAATAACCATTTACTTCTCCTTAGGCTCAGCTCCAACGTTGCTCAATGAAAGCTACATCTCTATTTTTTTTCACAATCCTAAACGATTCACAGCAGCAGTCGAGTATGGAATGTTTGTATTTGCTCCACATCTTTCTCTGAAGTTTTTCAAGTTTTTTATTTACAATTTAGTCCTTTAAGGTCAAATATGAACTTTGCTATTTTTTTGGAATATTTGTGGAAAGCATTCATCATGAAACCACAAGTTTTCACCGAAAATAAAAATACCTTCATTTTTTTAGTTTGTCTTCAAATTAAATCATTTTTTAAAAACTTTCATCCAGCTCGAATAAACAAATTCTTTATAGTAAAGTTTGCAGAGATGACTTGCTCAGATAAAAGCAACATAGAATTTTCACTGAAAACTATTATACCTGACATTTCTGTCCAACAGGACAAATTCTTTGTAGTCGTTTTCAAGTTTAGAATGTTTATGTCATTAAAAAGGCCAATGTTATTCCTGAAGAAAAGAGAATTAGAATATCTAGTTCTGTATTTTGACGGTCGTTTCGATGTATTATCATTCAAATAGTGTCAGTTAGAACAAGATATAAATGCAGAACAGGAGAAAAAACATTTCACCTTTGAAAAAATTCTGAATAAGCAGTTGCATGAAAACTCCGTATTTACGTCGACAAAACGTACCTATTTGATAGAAATTTGGACACGATGATTTTTGGAATTAGCTATCGATTGCAAATATCAGAATGCTATTTTTAAATCTATCTATGTTTCGGAAATTTCTGATAAAAAATGGCACCTCTCTTATAATGCATATTAAAAATGTTTTGTTATGTCAGGTTTACCTATGAAAACTTGGCAAATAGTGATGGCAGTCATCAGCTTCGATTTTCTGCACAACCAAGTATCAGAAGTAATTGTACATGTGCATTTGATGACACATGTACGTATCAAATGAGCTTCTACAGATATTACATATATCGAATGCCAAAAATGATTTTTTCTATTCCGAATTTTTTTATTGGATGTTCCTATATGGATTCTGTTCGCCTATCGTCAATCGAGTGTTTTTTTAACGAATCATGCTTGGACATCGTAATGGAGCTATTGGCTGAATATATAGTACCATCCATAAACACACCGATTCTCTCATCGAATGACGATCGATTTTTGCCTAATACAATAATGGGGGATATTATTGATGCTCTCATGATCGATCAATGGAATGTAAGTATCGAGTACAAACGCTACTACAACCAATGTGAACCACTACAGTGTTCATACACATATACGACGCGGGGTGACCTGCTGTATATATTCTCAACAACACTTGGCATATTTGGTGGACTTATCATCGTTCTAAAAATAGTGGTACAAATCATTGTTAGACCAATACGCAACCGTATGCAATCACAAACCGAAAATACTAATACGATAGGTAAGTCGTTGCAAATTTTAGTAGAAAGTTCAGTTTAGAGGGGTTACATCCTAGAAAAATTAAATGTAGTCTGAATGGCATGTTTGGTGTCCGACCGTTACGCAGCAATCAAGATTGCATGAATGGAATGTATGCCAACAGAAGGAGCAGCAAACTTGACAGAATAAGACTGGATGGAGTCCATCTTCTCTCATGTCGGCCTTTGATAATCGTGGCTTGATAAACATCAACATCGTCTAAAGTTTATTCCTGTTCTCGCTCATAGAGCGAACTTCTGTGCGATATTCTGTATCGATTTCTTAGGAAACCGCCAATTTTTTTCATCAAGAATTCTTTTTTGAATTTAGTTAGTCAGAGATTTCTAGTGAAAATGGAACTCGAGAAATGACATCGTATGATCACTGTCTCTGAGATTTTATTTTTTCTACCTAACGTGAGAAGCTTTATCGCACTCCTCACCATTGAATAGTGTATGACTACGAAGAAAATCTTTTGTCTAAGTCTTGGATTTCAGGTACTTTATTAGCTCAACATTGGATGAACCCACTGCGCTTTTAGTGAAAGCATTCAATATCATGAGTCTTTTTTTCTTTTAGCTCGGCTTAATTTTCTTGATCGTATACGTTATCTAACATATTGGCTTAAAGAACGTACAGTGCAATTTAATCTCTTTGAGACTAAGCTATCATGGAATAATGATGAACGCTATCAATCAGAAATAATTACTACTCGAATCTACTTGTTTTTGCTCTCGGTCTGTATGATTATCGCGTCAATTTACACATCAAGCATTGTTCAAACTCGAACTTTTACCGTGAAGAATCCGTCCATACTAACTTTCGATCAACTTTATTCGAATCCACGCTACTTGCCTACCCTGGATTGTCCCTGTCAGAACCTTACTATACCGTACAATAGCTTTCTTCAGGTCTCTCCCCATTTTCATCAAATTTGTGCAAGTGATTTTGTCGTCTCAAATGCTCAATGGATTAAACTTTTTTCTTCGCTTATGTTCAATGCTAGCTTTACTTACGACGACTTTCGAGTGTTTTTGGTGCCACAGTTCCGAGGGCTTGCTTCTTTGTGCACCATTGCTCGAGTAACAGCAGCCGAGGGACTATTTACATTTATGTCAAATACACTCATTAGTAAACGGGCTGAGTCTATGGAGACCATTCAATCACAAGTAACTTCGGCTCTGGCACATTTTCATTCATCAACAAGTGAGGCATTCATTCTGATGCTGGATTACGTTAAAGACATAACGAAGGGCAACCGAATAATCTCATCGATACTATCAAATTGGTATCTTGATGACTACACAGCAGACTTTAACATAGACCTTATAGAACTCACCATATCATCACGTTCATATGCAAATGGTACCTGCATTTGTGGTCGTAGCTCAAAATGTTTATCACCATTAGTTATTGACGGATGGTTAGTGCCTGGACTTCGAGTGGGATGTGATCCAATGGAATCTCTTCTACAATCCACTCTCGAATGTCTCTATAATGCAACATGCATCGACAAGATCAAGCCCCATGATACTACATCAAATATAATGTTTCGTGCTCTTGATGCTACACTATCATCTTCCGATGCCATCGTTCAGTCTCTGGTGGATGTACTTATGGTTGATCAATGGGAAACAAATGTCATTTATGAGCATTACTATAGAGCATGTGCTCCTCTCTATTGTATCTATTCACTCGAAATACGATTTGACAAAGTATATGTTTTCACAACCATTATGGGTCTCTCCGGAGGGTTGACAGTTGCACTTAAATTAATCATTCCACTTGCAGTCAAATTTTGGCAGCATATTCAAATCTATCGTCGAAGACTTGTTCGACCGATGATCAATGTAATTGCATAAAACACTTAAAAAACTAGCTTTTCATGTTGTGTGTGAAAAATTATTGAATGGATGTTAACTTTTACTACGATTATGTCATTTTATTTAAGAAAGAGTCTGCTGTAATAAAGCCTTAGATGTCTATCTAACTGTCTGTTGCATTCTATTGGAAACTGATGCCAGAAAATCCTGAAAACTAGAATATTATATTTGAAACGAAACGTGGACGCCATCGTTTTACTCAGATTTAGATGCATACGAGAGATCCGAAAAACAGTAACAGTCAACATTTTTAATAACGATGGAAAAATACTTACTCGTCGTGTTTGACTTAGTGGTGAACAAATTCCTGATCTTTCGTAGCAATAATTGCTTATTTGCGGTTCTGTACACCGTCAGTTCAAATCAAATCTTCGAGTGTGATCTATTGAATTTTGATCGGTCTGTCTGGTTCAACTGTCGGATTTGACAGAATATAATTAATAGATGTGAGAAATGGTCCGAATCCACCGTGAATTCTGTATCTTTAGCCAAGTCCGATCAATTCTTAATTCTACTTATCGTATTCTCTCAAATCTGATACTAGCATCAGTTCGAGCCAGCAAAACAGAGTAGGTCGGAACGGTAAACCTGAATTTGGTAGAAAGTAAAAATGTCGAAAGTCGAAATGTCGAAATGCATTGCATAAGAGTAGTAAAATAAAATATATTGTTCCTATGATATGAGTGAAGACTTTATTTTAATATTAAAAATGTAATAATCATATTTAACAAGAAATCTTTCTTTGTCGACATTTTATATTTCAACATTTTTATTTTCGACATTTTTACGTTCGACATTTTTATTTTGGCGTTTTTCAGGAGAACCGTCGGAACTGACAGTTGTAAGTATTCACAACTGAGTCATTTTTACTACGAAAAATTAAGAATTGATTTGTCTCTAGTTTGACTTCGCCCATGACCGTTTTGCATGATATTGAAAATATTTCTGTATATGCATAATCTGCCAATGTTTCTTTTTCGAATTATATGCCTGAAACCTTTCTTCAACGTACAGTGGGGAAAAAATCAGAGATCGACGATAATAAACTGGGTCTCTCCTTATTAGGGATCGTGTGCTAATAAAGACACATCCAAGGAGATTCGTAAATGTATATTACTTAACACAAGACAATGTGCGACTTCCACTTTAGTGACCTGATAAACTCTGAATACTTTTCACATCTGTATTGTGTACTTTATAATAACTCAATTTTTTGCGCCTACGACACTCCTCAAACAAGGCGGAACCAACTGGTTCCAACAGTTTAAATCAATTTGAAACCATTAAAAATCAAGGAAACCGACAGAACGGGTACAGGTAGGCGTGAGTGCCAGTATTTTGTATATTCATATCCACACCCGCACCTCGATTTCAAGACAAATAAATATCGATAATACCTATTACTGAAATAAACATAAGTCCAATGATTTTTTCTTTTTTCGATCGCAGTTACTGGGATAAACTGGAATGTAATTGAATAAACGCCCAAAGTCTACAACCTCTTTCATGTGACAAAACTTCAATTAAAATTAAACATAACCTATTAAAAACATATAAGATCAGTTCTTAATTCTCATCCACTTTCAATCACTTTTATTTTTTGAATCTTTTCAAATCTGTCCAATTTGGCCTAAGTTTCAACTTTTCCCGACACATACATTCTGAGTAGTGAAAATACATGATCAAAACAAAACTCTTCGAGTACTTATATATTCGTGATACATGTAAACATACATTGAAACAAGAAAGAAACATAGTTACTATTGGGAAAGAGGTAATTATTCAATTTTCGAATGGATGGAAAAAGAAAGCCAGGAGTAATATCAAGTGTGAAAAATATGGTGCTGAAGGCTGAAGATATTAGTGATAAGATATCGCTTGAAAGTGACCATTGAAAGGTTCTTTTATTGGTTGGCTCTTCTTGTTACCTTTGTTTACTTTTGTACTACTGAATATGTACGCATACTAACGTAGTGGACAATCACAAGTCATCACTAATTTGTCGGCATTAATGTTCTTTTAAATAGTGTCTCTTTGATGTGTTGTATCAAATCAAAAAGTCGCCGTTAACCAGGAAAATGAAAGAGTTTTGAATTAGTTTCAAACTGAGTTGAAATAAATCTTTTTTGAAATGTTTTATTTACGAATGGGATAGTAATCGAATACTTACTAATTGCTTGGCCGTATTTTAGATAATATGATTACTCTTTCTAATTTCATATAATTTCTTTTTTCATAAAAAGAAAAACCACTCGTGATGATGAACATTTTTATATCTGAAATAAATAAAGTCACAAATACAAAATAACACCATCGATGTAAAAACCTTAATTGATCTGTAAATTTGCATACAGATATAAAAGATGTTGTAGCAAGAAGTAAAGATGATCATTGTTACCAATCCGAACTTGAACAAATTGAAGGCCGAATATTCAAACAAGTTGTCAAAAAACATGCTACGAAAGAAACTACTCCAATACCAAAAGTATTTGATAAAAAATCATCAAGATTCTGTTTGACGCCATGAGCATTTGCTTTTCTTCCATCACAGAAAGAGATAGGTAATGGAATATTTATTTTTATTTTATTGAAGGAAACTTTTCTAAAGATATTTCATTGAATAAAGCAAAATAATTTCAAACACCTGTTATATGCGGCTCTAAAATTTTCGATATACTCGAAGCTTATACAAAAAGATTGAACAATGAACCGTTTCTTTGTATTGATTAAACTAAAAAAAGGAAGATGCGTATGTTGTTATTCGCATCACGTTAAAAATGAAGCTTGTTATTTCACCATTCTGTTATCGTAAATGATGAAACTTTTAGTGCCTCATCTTTCGACATTTAATCAAGTTTATAGTTCACAAACTCTAAAATCCAAACAGTGTAAATATAACTATTTTTTATTAAAGAAAATGATATCAGTCTGACGTCTTATAGGCTCTATACGTGCTTTTAGTCTTCTGCCTGACAAAAACAATCAACTTACAATTTTTATTTCATGAATTGCAAGGTGCTGTTATTGGAATAAATATGAAATTTAATCCCACCCCAGTTATGTCGGATTATGAGCTCGTTTTATCAGATGTTCTTGATAGTGAATTAAGCACGTAGGTTAAGTTATCATCAGATTCGAGTATTTCCAGCCCGGATTCGCCCTGAAACTTGTTCCAAATCTCATATTGTTGTTTCAAGTAGATCTCGACGAGCTCTATCCAACGATATGCTCAACTTTTCCACGACTCAGACCAGTCTCGTACAAAATCGATTTTTTCATTTTTTTCCCATGTAGTCCATGGACCCAGAAAAGTATTTCCAGCCCAGATTCGTTCAGGAACTTGTTCCAACTCTTCCATTCTTGTTCCAAGTACAACTCGGCGAGCTCTACCCAATGGTATGCTCAGATTTTCCATAACCCGAACTATAATTTTCAGGCTTTGTACAGCGCCATCTATGGTCCCAAGAACCATACTTTGCACTGTGGCAAATCTGAGTATACCGTTGAATAGAGCTCGTCGAGCTCTACTTGGAACAAGTTCCTGAGAGAATCTGGGTTGGAAATACTTTGTAGGATCCTTGGATCTCATACAGAAAAAACTGGAAAATCGATTTTGTAAGCGACTGGTTTCAGTTATGAAAAATCTGATTACACCAATCGAAAGAGCTTGCCAAGTTCTACTTGGAACAAGAACAGAAACGTTGAAACAAGTTCTTGATCAAATCCGGGCTGGAAATACTTGTCATGGCGCTTGGATTCCATGGGGAAAAAATGGAAAAATCGATTTTGTACGCGACTGGTTTGAGCTGTGGAAAAGCTGAACATACCATTGGATAGAGCTCATCGAGGTTTACTTGGAACAAGAAGTGGAGATTTGGAACAAGTTGCTGGGTGAATCCGGGCTGAAAATACTCGAATCTGGTGATAGCTTCACCTACGTGAATTAAGCGCTATTTCTCTTCTATTTCGACAGACATTGTGATATCTTGCTTCATTTAGTTTTCTAACTGTAAAACTAGTGGATGTTACTTCCATTTTACACAAGTTGTTTATCGCCATATTCAAGATCTTGATTTATCGAACGTATGTAATATTAATTAAGGTGCTCTGATTATCTGTAGAAAACTTATAACTCTTCTGTTAATACCTTTGTCTTTGATCTTAAAAGCTTTTGATGATCTATATAAATTCTTTCTTCAAGAATCATTGGAAAAAAATAACTCATTAAAAACTTTATTTCATTACATTGAAAACCAGTGGATGAAAACAGGAGACATAAAAAATGGGATGCATATAGACTGTAAATAAGAATGAACAATAATGCTGAAAGTTTCCAATTTTGTCCAGTACTAAGATATTTTTATCATTCTTATCTATTTCAAGGATCAATAAGCGTCTAAACTCGAGGTAATCAAAATTTCTTCCCAATAAATGGACTTTTATTAAATGTATTCAAGGAGAAGAAAATAAGTTTAATCATTTAATGATTCAAATGATACGTTGTCTTTCAGTCGAACCAAAAACAACTAAATCACACGCTTTATAACGAAGACTTAATACTTTATATTCACGTTATAAAGATGATGATATTGATGGTAGCGAACTTTTTGATGGATTATTTTATGTTGTTGCTAAAAATATTGCATAAAAAAGAGTCATCATGATCTTATGCTTACGAGGGAACCTCCCGAGGTGTCCAACGCCGATTCTCTTCATTCGTACGTCGTTTGATAGAGGGTATCGAGATAGCAAAAAGCCTAAAAGGATTTGGGCTGACAGCTCTTCCTTGAAAAGTTATGGTCGTTTTACTGATTTTTCGACCTATACCTAGGTATTTAACGAGAAAATCAAGTTACGGAATTTTGACCTGAAATTTTACC